TGCGTTGGATAGCGATTGGAGCTGCGTTGAGCAGCGGTTGGAGTTGCGTTGAGCAGCGGTTGGAGCTGCGTTGAGCTGCGGTATGAGATGCGTTGAGCTGCGTTCGTGGCTATGAACGCGATGCGTCTTGATGCTGGTGTGCGGGGAAGACTTCCACAGTTTGATTTGAAGAGACCGTCGATTTGTAGTCTCTTTCTGTCGAAGCGTTGAAAAGATCGTCATTTTGTAATCTTTGCTTTAGCTCTCTGATATATGAGAGTCGTCAGATTGTAACTCCCGATGTTGATTATAAAGGCTGTTTGATTGGAGCTTCCATCAGTTGTCGTGAAGGTCGTCAGATTATAACCTTTAGCGATCTACGTGAAAGTCTTCAAATTGTAACCTTCTGGAAGTCGACAGAGTGTAACTTCCATCATCGGTGTTTTGATGGGGATCAGCTATCTATTGTGATTTTTAGACAGCCTACAAGGTGATAAATCCAAACACTTGAAAAAAGTAACACGAGTACTCCAACACTTAGAGGAGTGTGGTTTGTGGGATTGGCAACATGTGTATTGTAAAAGTTTTCAGTGAACTTTGGAAACCGGTTGTGTAGACTTTTGATTGATAGTGGAGAGCTCCTCAAGGTGAAGATTAGAGACATAGGTCAAGTGTTAGACCGAACTCCGTGATCATATTGTGTGTTTGCGTTTGGCTTTGGCGTATTATTCTTGTGTCTATTCTTATAATACCTATTGTCTCATAGTTTATCGCCTATTATCTCATATCTTATCCTTGCGTATCTTTCTTATATATCATATTGCTAGGATATTGCATTATAAGTTTTAATTTAGCATCGAAATCGGATTAGATTAGTAATTATCCTATTCACACACACCCCCTCTATGGTACTTTCAGATCATATTCGTGCACGCTCGAGTTGGGATTTGACGGATCCATAGGTCCAATATCATGTTCATCAAGCAGGCTTTTTTAAATATTCACAAATAAAATGGGTAAGACTTAACTGGCCTCTCTTAACGGTATTGATTGAACGATGGAGGTCCGAGACAAATACATTTCACACGCGTTAAGGAGAGTCGACTATTACTCTGCAGGATGTAGGGGTTTTACTTGGCCTCAAAGTGGATGGAGATGCTGTTACGGGTACCGATGACTTTAATTGGATAGGAGTGTGTGAATGATTACTGGATCAAGCTCCTAATATGAAGGGTGGTAAGATCAAGCTTAAGCGGTTACGAAATAATTATATTAATATACTGATCGATGCAACTGATGAGATCATTAAGAGCTATGGTCGCACATATATACTTCATATGATCGGCACTGTTCTATTTTTGGATTCCACTAAGGATTCAGTGCATGTTAGATGGTTGCCACTTCTTGAGGATCTTGAAGAGTGTGGAGAGTTATCCTGGGGGAGTGCAGTGTTAGCTTATCTCTATAAGGAGATGACAAAAGTGGCACTCATGTAAAATAAAGAATTCAAGGTTGTTTCACTTTGTTGCAAATATGGTCATGGGAGCGATGACATTTGGGAACACCAGATCTGAGGGAGACCCGTGCTCTCGATGGCCAGATTCCGTTAGGATGTAGGTATATTAGTTTGTAATAGATATGATTACATGTAATTTTATACATTTATTTTCAATCTATACTAAACCTCTGTATATCAAATAGATGGAATGTCTCCATATATTAGCAAACCTCCCTAAAGAGTCATGAAAACTTTTATAGGAATGAACTTGATCAAACGGAGGATGAACAAGTATATCATAATATCTAAATATATTCAATCAATACATCATTTGTTACTAATGTATAACTTTACATCATCTTCTTTATAGGTCAAGTGGATGCCCTATGAACTAGTTTTAACTTTACTGTCAGATATTTGTAGAGATGGTGAAGATATATGGTGTGCTCAAATACCGATTATATATTTTGAGATTGTCAAAATGCACATGTCCGATCATTTACTTTGACATTTTGGAATGCAACAACATATTCTAGATCATGTAGAAAGAATAGAGCAAAATCCTCGAAAATGAGCACATCATCAAAATTTAGTGATAATTCGTCATGCTTACATTGAGAATTGGGAGTTGAGGGAGGATGTTGTAGTGATTGAGAGGGCTGATGCATCAGAACTATATGTGTACTTACGGTGGTATTGGGAGATTACTCACCGACGGATATTTCGGGAGAACAAAGCATTTAAGGAGTACATACTGAGGGTCCAGTTAAGAGAGAGTTGGTAAGTGTATAAGCAAAATATACAATTATTTTGTGATTATTATTTTATTATCATCCACTTGCTAATAATCATCTTTCGCTTTTTATCTTATAGGTACAAGAACTCGATGAGGTTGCTTCTATTGTACATGATACATTGAGATCGACTACCGTGCCAGGGGTGAGGAACGCATTTGTTCGCATCATAGGAAAGATTCAATTCGCTCTTAGAAGGACGCATCATGCGAATCGTGATGGACGTGAGAAACAACTCATAGGGTATGAGCGTCGACGGGTCTGAGGACACACAGGAGTGGGCTCAAGTCGTGCACATGATGAAGCTAAAGGCTCACAGCAAGCTCAAGCCGGATGTCCACAAGAGGTTCAAGTCGACGAGGATGTCATGCACTCATAAGTTCACACACAACCGGACGTTAAGATCATCCAAGCTCATGTTGAAGGTGAATGAGGAAGGGGGAAAGGAAGAAGAGGCAGAGGGAGAGGGAGATGGGGAGCGAGAGGAAAAGAAGTTCTAAATATTTATTAAATTTCGATATATTTCATACGATGTTTATGTTTAAAAGATGTTTATGTTTAAAATGCTATGATGTTTATGTTTGAAATGCTACTGTGACTTGATTATGGTTGGATTTTTAGTAAGTGAATTAAATATTACACTCTTGTTAAAGATTTGTTATAGATGTAATAATTATATAAAGATATATGTTTATTTGTATTTAAAATTGATTATGAATTGATAAACGTGTAGCAAGAGAGTTGGTGTTAAACTTGTGGATTGATATGTGTTAGCAGGAGAAGAGATTTTCCAGCAAAGTGTGGGCTGGAGGGTCTCTACCAAATGGTCGGGATTGGGAACTCCGACCATTTTGTGCATGTTGTGCACCCAACCCCGACTAGTTTAGTGGCCTAACAATGAATGAGGGGCGGGGGACGTCCTGATTAGTCGAGGTTGGCAACCCCGACTAATTAGGACTACGATATTTTTTAAAATGACCCACTTTCTAGCCACGAATCTACGTGGCCAGAAAGTGAGTCGATTCTTGTAATAAACTTTGGATTGGATCGAAATTTGGGATTAAATTTTTGATGGGTTTATTTCAAAATTTTCTTCAAACAAAAAATATCAAGCTTAAAGATAATTAAGAGTCTTAAAATTTTCAATTATTAAACAGTAGCTAATAAATAAAGTCAATGATATAAACTATAGTTTGAAAGACACAAAAAAATAACACCAAAAATGAAAACTTTCATAGACTACTAGTATGTTGTCTTAAATTAGCAACACTATTCTTCTTGCATATTAATAACAGTCTTGAAAAGTATCAATTCCTACTTGCAAACATACTATCACTACACTCATCTACTAGTCCACACCTCCTTAGCTATCGACTCTCGTTTATCCAACCGCTCTCATTCCTCGTCCCTTTGCTCCCAGTGTGTCTTCCCAACCTGAGAAAGATTTTGAGAGATTCATTCGCTTTCAAGTGTAGTAAGTTTGTCTCCATCATTTGAAATAATAAAATTACGTAGCATGCAACAACAAGTTACAGGGTCTACTTGAGTTCTGAAAGGGAAAAATATCTTGAAGCTTGAATTTTGAAATGGTCTTCTAAGGAACCAAATATTGCTCTCTCCACAGAGGTCCGTAAGGATCGAATGTGTATGGTTACTTGTAGTTTGTGGGTGCATGATCACTGAACTCACGAAGATGGCATCGAACTCCACTATAAGACGCCCTTTTCGAATAAGCAACATCTACCAAATAGTATATATCTTCCTATAGTTAAGCGTATAAGTTTAGTCAACGAAGTAATGTTGGTGTTAAATTAAAACTAATTTTTAAGTCTTTTACCTTGTGGCACCATCAATCTACTTGGTCTTTCAATAGCATCTCTTAGAGCTAGTGTATCATGTGTCCGAGTCTTCCCAACTGACAAGCACATAAGTAAACTTCAAGTTGACTTTTCGTAAGCCGCTTTGAGAACATTTTGAGTAGGTTACGGCTTTCTACCACGAAAGGCTCCTACCATGTGAGATGAGGGACCAGGCTTGTACTAAAGGAGTTTGTTTATACCGTCGTTAAAAAAAATTCAAAACCATGTTAAATTCTAGGAAACTGTAAGAACGCAAAGAAAATGAATGTTTCATACCGTAGAAAGGAGAAATTAATAGTTTCAACAACAGATATTTTGTCGAATGTTTATTATGTACGTAAATTGTCCAATAAAAAGCTTGGTCAATCTTTGTACGGCTAGTGCTAGTCGTTTGTCAAAAAAAAATTTACAGGAATTAATGCATAGAATATTATAGCAAGAACGCATTAAAACATAGGATTGTTAAGATCATGGTGCCCGGATCTCACATATTTTGCTACAAGTCCCCAGTGTTCATGTTTAGTACAGGTCCTTCAAAAGAGTAAGATGTTTGAAACGAGTCCATTGTAGCTAATCTCCTTATGTAATCTGTTTTCATAAGGAGAACTTACAACATCGGATCCAACATTGGGCACGCAGGGAACGAGCAAACAAACATTGGGCATTTGTGAAATCATGAGAGGGTATAAATGTACCTAGCTTATTTTTGAATGATTACAATCCAAAATATTTCACTTGTCAAACATTCGAAAGTGGATTGTTAACTGAAAAATATGGATTATAGTCTACCTTGACTATTTGCCAAACCTGCTAACAGCTGGGGCCTTCTTATAAAGAGGAGAAGAAAGGAGGAGGATAAAGATATCAACAGATATGAAGTTGAAATGATATAAAGATCGTTCTATGATTTTTTTTTTTTTCTCCCCACCATTATTCTTCACTTCGTTCATTAGCCAAAAGCCGCACTCTTTAAACTTCAAGAAAACAGAATACATAAATGAAAATAGTGCTCATGGCAAATCCCCCATCCCTCATATTGCTGCTGCCTAAGAACAATTACGATTTAATATCAGCCACCATTTTCCAAGTACTTCATGCCATCTCCCGTGCGATCTCCATTGAACATCACATCATCTCTGGGCCTTCGAGGAGTGCAGGAAATGTTTTTGATAATTGAAGCATAAAGATCGAACTCTGCTTTCAATTTGCTGCAGCTGGCTTCAATCCATCTCTCAGCAACACTGGTTGGAACGCTATCTTGGTTGTCCCGCTCATGCTCTTCAATGGCTGGCCTTATCTCGTTGTATAGAGAATCAAGATGCAAGGTCGCCTGGTTCTTGGTTTCCTGCAGGATAACCAGAAGTTAATTTTTTTTTTATGAAGGTTCCATCGGCATAAGTGGTTCCTTATCGAATGTGAATTTTTTAAATAAAAGTCTCTCTAGAAAGGAAAAAGTAAATTTCACAAAACTGACATTAAATTTGTGGGGCTTTATACAAATTACAACCTTTTTTTTAATTTATTAGAACACTGCTATGAACCCATAAGTGCAGAAATGTACCTTTTTTTTATCTTTAACCACAGATGTCCCCACCCCCCATTGGAGATGGGACTAATTATGCTCAAAGGTGGTGGCTACCCCTCCCAACAAGTGTCACTTCCAGGTTTCAAACTCTTGCCAAGAGGCAGAAGCCCGCCTAAGATCATCTCCAGCAGGAGGTGAAATTTCACCTCCTCCCCCCCTGCCACATCACTTTATTTAATTTAATAATCTTCATTTCCCTATCAACTCTGTAGCAGCTAGTTTTTCAGAAAGTTTTTTACTTTTTTTGGGACCCACCATAACCACATCACTTCAATATATACCCCACCATATTTATTCATTTTTTTTTCCTATTTCATATATATTACTATTATTATTATTAGTATAACTCATATATTTATAATTATAATTTATTAATAATTCAATAAATAATATATAATATTTAAATATATATTATTAATTTAATTTTCAATAATATTTTTAAATTGACATAAAATAACACACGATTTTATTAAGCATACGGAAAACCAAACACACCCAAATTATTGAAAACATTAAAGAAAACACACACTAAATTGGTAAATCTAATCGGAGGTTGTCCCAAACTTCTGCCAAATGTGCTCGATGAGATCCTTCTTCAGCTGAATATGTTGGGTCTTATCTCGTAGTTCCGCTCTAGTCTGATTATCTGCCTCAGATCGGTGTTGAACATGGACTTGAAACTCCGGCAACACGTCTGTTTGAACATTGAAAGAGGCGGTAGAGCTAGAATTGTTCGACGGTTCAAAGTTGATATTTTCCCAGTTTCGCGAATACGTATCTCGTTAATCCTCTACTATCATGTTATGTAAAATAATGCACGCCCTCATTATTTTTCCTAAGACATCAAGATCCCACATTCTAGCTGGTTGGCGGACAATAGCGAAGCGTGCTTGGAGTACCCCGAATGCGCGTTCCACGTCCTTCCTGCATGATTCCTGTTGTTTGGCAAAAAATTGATGTTTGTTGCCTTAGGGCATTTGAATTGACTGCACGAAGACAGGCCACTTAGGGTAGATTCCGTCGGCAAGATAGTATGCAAGATTGTACTCCCGCCCATTCACGGTGAAGTTTACCCTTGGAGCTTCACCCGACTCAATGTCGTCAAAAACCGGTGACCTATCTAGTACATTTATGTCATTCAAACTACCAGGAAGCCCAAAAAAAGCATGTCATATCCACAAATCATATGACGCAACTACCTCGAGGATAATTGTTGTTGTCCCCTTGTGTCCACTAGTAAACTGCCCTTGCCAAGCCTTAGGACAATCTTTCCACTGCCAGTGCATGCAATCGATACTTCCAATCATCCCTAGGAATCCACGTTCCTGTCCAACTTGGAGCAACCTCTGCAAGTCTTCCACATTTGGTCGTCGTAAGTATTCATCTTGAAACAATGCTATTACCCCTTCGCAAAACTTGCGAGTACACTCGATAGCAGTGGATTCTCCTATCTTCACGTACTCATCACAAGCATCGGCTGCGACTCCATATGCGAGCATGCGTATGGCAGCCGTACACTTCTGGATAGGCGTTAACCCAAGCTTGCCTGCATTATTGCGCCGTTGTGTGAAGTAATCGTCGTAATTTGATATAGAGTCCACAATTCGTAGAAAGAGAGGCCTTTTCATTCGATACATGCGTCGGAACTGGGCGTCAGTGTAAGTGCATGACTCGACAAAGTAGTCGGCCATGAGTCTCTCATGCGCTGCATGGTGATCTCTATGTATGGATTTCCTCTTATGTGGTTGTTCGCTTCTCCTTTGCAATTCTTCAAGAAGTTCTTGCTGCCTATCAAGTATTTTCTCTTCTATTTTCCATTGTTGTTTGAACTCTTCTAGACTAAACTCATTTAGGAAAGGATCCATTAGATGATATGATTTTTAAAATGTTGATAGGTATACTTATGATGTGCATCTGATCAGTTTATATAATGAAGGGTAGTTGTTCAAATAATTGAATTCACATGCAATTGCAGGGACATGTGTTGTAGGGCATGCAATATCAGAGACATGTGTCGTAGGGCATGCATCTGCAGAGAGTTGTCAATTCATATTTTGTATTATTATGCAGGTGTAGTCATTTCATCCTTTGTATTTTTTGCAGTGAAAGGTCAATTCAACATTTGTTTGTTTTTGCAGTGAGTAGTAATTGTATCTTTTGTACTATTATGCAGTGAGAAGTCAATATCAATCGGCTTTATTGAAACATAAACAACAATTTTATTCAAACATAAACAACAATTTTATTAATACATTCAACAAACATAGGCACCCACACAACTCCAAAATTAAACACACGGCACACAAAAACTTCAGAAAGAAAACACACAAGCATAACTTCTTGAGAAGGTCTTATTTTCCAAACAGGTTCTTCCTCAACATATTATAAGCTTCATCATCTTCATCGTCACGATCTGGTTTGTTTTTCAAGAATAACCACATCTCCGTATTCTTGGAATGAGCCAGGGCATTCATAGCTGAAGCGGTACTTGATCTTTTCTCTTTAAATTTTTCATGAGCACTGACTAGCTTAGATAAGTCCTCCTCAATTGCCCCATTCGATTTCCTTAAAACAGATGTTTTACTAGAGGAAGCTCTAGCTTTCTTCTTTGTCACGTCCCTACCCTCTGGACGTACAAGGGTAGGAGTTGATGATTCAACATCCTCACCACTACTTTTTCTTTTAGAGCCACTACTACCCGATGCATTTCCTCCTGTCATATATTTGGGTTGATTACGAACCATCTTCCACTCATCCACCAAATTAAACGTCGTACCCATTTTCTCAAAGTACAACTCTCTTGCCTTGGATATGTAGTTTTCATCGGACCAACCGCTACGGTTCTCCTTACATGCAGTACTGTAGCAGCCAATGAAACTGGATATCTTTTTGTTGATGTCTTTGAAATGACTCTGGCACTTAGTCGCGGTTCTCTCTTTTTCACTTTTGGCGTTCTCATTCACGTACTGTGTAATTTTACCCCAGAAAGTTGCACCCTTTTGGTTGTTTCCCAACTCACTATCATTACTAACGTGAAAATAACCAGTTAGTAAAAGTATGTTGTCTTCGGTGGTCCAACTATCATAACTTGATCTATTTGCTGATTGTTGGGTTGGAGGTAGAAAACTGTGGGGAGTATCCCCACCAACATTTCCCAAAGACATTTGGATGAAAAATTCTGGAAAATCTGTAGACCTGCTACTAAACCGGGGTATCGCTGGGTCACTCGACTCCGTGTTAGGACAATTCATATGGGAGGGAACATAGCTACTTCCCGGAACTGGAGGATAACCGTAAGGAAGATAAGGGTATTACATGCAGAAATTCGGTTGCATCATATAGGGCATTTGAAAATTGGGCTGCATCCCCGTATTTTGAGTATTTTCGGGGCGTTGCATATTTGGATGTTGAGGTTGAGGATGGGTATTTTGAGGTTGGTTAGGAAAGTTGTAGTTGTAGGAAAAATTAGGATAGTTTTGTGAAGGATCCATGAAGAAGAAGTATGAAAAAACTAGTTTCAAAAAGCAAAAAAGAAGGAGAATAGGGTGTAGAAAACTCAAATTTTATTTGGTGTCCAAATAACACAAAGTTAGTCTCTATTTATAGAGTTTAAAAAATGAAAAATAATGGTATAAAAATTAAAAATTAATTTATAATAATTATCTCCCAAAATTGCATTTAAAAATTAGGAAGAAACCAAAAAATGTCGGCCAATCAGACCATGACGCGTGGCAGCGTGCATGGCTGATGCCAGCACAAGCCCGACACGCATCATGGTCTGATTGGCCGCGCGTTTTTCTAATTTGTTTTTTTAATTGTGGCAGCCTCTGTGGGCCCCACGTATTTTTCTAATTTTTTTTTAAAATTGTGGCAGCCTCTGTGGGCCCCACGCTACAGAAAAACCCATAGGAAAATTTTCCCTTTCTCTCCCCTCTGTTTCCAATTCCCTTTCCTTTTTCCTACATGTTGCACCCAAATATCCCCCCAATCCCTACCTGCTGCAGGTAGTCTAAGGACCAAACTGCCTACCACTAGGCCAACAACTTGGTGTGCAGAAATGTACCATGAACTATTAAGAACTAGGGGTTTTTGCTTTTAGACCCATTTGTTTACTCCCATTTATTTTTAAACCCAAGTACTATTATTTGTATCTTTAAGCCCAATTCACCTTTTGTATTTATCTTTAAACCCAAAACCACTTATTTTTATATTTTGAAGATTGGGTTTAAAAATAAATACAAAATGTGAATTGGGCTTAAAGATACAAATAATAGTACATGGGTTTAAAAATAAATGGGAGTAAACAAATGGGTCTAAAAGCAAAAACCCCTAAGAACTATCGCTAGTGATGTTATTATCTTCGGTAAAGGTCTAAACTACCCTTATTAAATATTTATATCTATCAATCCACACAAAGTTCATAAGGGTAATGTAGAGAAGATGCATGGAGAGCATCGGGGGAATTTTCCAGAACAAGGCACACAAAAAATTACCCTATGTGCGGTCAAGCATGCTAGCTTAGAGGAAAAAATATTTATGGTAGATTTCTCTAACAAATATATATATATAGGGAAAAGTGAATCTAAGGTGACACCCTACCCTAGGCTCCCACCTAAGAACGTGGCCTAGAATCACATCATTTTCTAAAAAAAAATTTACGATCCGCTCCGTTGAACTTGATCTACACGTTCTTAAACCCAAACGCACCAATTTTGGGGTGAACCCGTCGTGTTTTGACCCTTTATCCACTCGCTGCAATTTTAACGATTTCGAATGAATAGAACTTTTTGCACGGCTCAACGAATGGTCAAAACACGCGGGTTCACCCCAAAAATTGGTGGTGTTTGGGTTTAAGAACGTCGTTTAAGATCAAGTCAACGGAACGATTCGAAAAAAAATTTAGAAAATGAGTGATTCTAGACCGCGTTTTTAGCGTGGATCCTAGTGTGTCCAGCCTTAGATTCACTTTTCTAATACCATATATATATATATATATATATATATATATATATATATATATATATATATAGTATATATTATATATATAAATGTTATATTATAATATGATGTATAATGGTTTCATAGAAAACACCCCAAAGTTCATGGTTTGGGAAATTTAAGCTAAACAAACATAAACAGCTTCCAGTTCAAGTCAGGAACCAATATGGATATGCAACTATGGGCTAAACTCACTTGGGCACTGATTGAATCTTAAAAACTTTATCCAATTAGTTTACATATACAACACAGTAGAAGAGTAACTCAGTTGTGTTTGTACCTCATAAGCAAGAAGTTCGTCGCAAGCTTCCTTTGACAAGCGCTCACCAATAAGCTTCACATCGACTGGTGTTCTTGCTTGATTTTTTGACTTTCCACCAGGGAACTGTGTCGAGCTTTTTGGCAAGGAATTTGATTGTTCCTGGTAGTTCCGACATGCACTATTACTGCGTATACGAGGTCCCAGTGAACTTTTCTGCTCAACTTTTTTTCCAGCATGCGGATAAAAACCACTGCCATCTCTTGCTTCAGTTTTCCTTATATCCATTTCCATTGGGACAGAATTCAATGGTTCTACAATAATTGGATCGGATTCAGAAAGTACCAATGTCCCATGACCACTAGTGCTTCTCATGAAACCTTCACTGTTCTCAATGGTTGTGTCGTCTCTTGAGGGAACAATAGCCTGGAGAAATTGTGAACTTGGTTCATCATCCTCAGAATCATAAAGTGGAATGTTCTCAATGGAGTATCTGCCATTTTAGAAAAGAGTAAAGATATGCAATAAACAACAATAATTGAGGGGGGAAAGTTGGGCAGGCGGGTGCGGCGGGCGCGGCAAGGGGGGGGGGACAGTGATTTGGTAGATGAAATAGATCATTAATTAGAAACCTTCCGCCATTTTCCTACAGGATTTATCTTGAAGTTATTCATATATAATACATAAAAGAAAACACAATTTGCAATCATACAATTGCCTTCAGACAATCACAATAATAATATTTTTGCTGACTAATGAATGGAAAGGCTGAATCTTACCTGTCATCATCATCTTCCCAAACATATGTTGCTTCCTGCAAATATATTGTGATGTGGATAAAAAATACGATGAGAAAAACAGAAGAAAACAGCAAAACGTATCGAGGACTACATGCTTAGGTAAACTAGTAAAACTGGCAATGAAGGAACTACATGCCAAATTGTGATTCATTAAATACTTAAGATAATATGATGAAATAATAGATTGAAAACTACTGCAAAATAACCAAATTGTTATTCATTAAATACTTGAGATAATATGATGAAATAATAGATTGAAAACTAACTGCAAAATAAGCATGGCTATCCAAGATCTAAAACAACCAAGCCAACAGTAAGGAGTAGCAGAAAGTGATACTTAAATTTATTAGATTGAAAAGTGGGAATTTAAGCTTGAACAAGATTACTCCCACAAACTTAAAGTTTAGTGTTTAAAAGATCCAGTTAAGAATACATATTAAGACTCAGCTATTTTCACTTTAACAATCAGATCTGAAAATAGGCAGCTGCCTTTCTAAAGAGAAGTAATTGGTGACTATTGATTGGCAGAATGATTGCTAGAAGATGTTAAGCTAAAAGGGAACTTAAATGTAAAAGGGTTGACATGTAAAAGTCTTAGAATGGGAGATATACGAAGTTAATTATAAAAAAACACAAGTGAGTGATATAAAGCGATAAGATATAGATAAACATGAGAAGAACCTCCCTCTCCCCATCCCTCCACTCCCTGCCTCAGTTCATTTAAGACCACCCTTATCCTCCTCAGCAGCTGTCCTATCATCTGTCAATGATCTTCTACCTTCAACATATGCACTCTTTGCTCCCCCACTCAAGAAGCATTTCTCCGTTTTAATCATTACTGTTTTTTATTCAACAAACAAAATTGGTCCTTGGTAATGATGTGGCTTCATCTCAATCACTCATCTAAAGAGATTA